GTAAGTTTGGAAGAAATTGGAAGAGAAGAAAAGGAAGAGAGATCAACATTCAAGTAAGACATAAAATGGAGAGGAAAAGGGAGAGAAGGAGAGAGATAGAGGGAGAGAGAGAGAGAGGGAGAGAGAGAGGGAGGGAGAGAGCGACAGAGACAGAGAGAGAGAGACAGAGAGAGAGAAAAACAGAAAGAGAGAGAGAGAAAAAAAAACAGAGGGCAAAGAAGAATAGAAGGGAAGAGAGAGAGAAAGAGAAAATAGAGACACAAAGGCCCGAAAAACTAAGACAAGGGGAGCAAACGAATGAAGATAAAAGAGACAGAGAGAGACACACACAAAACGACATGATAATCCAAGGGAAAAAAAGTCCTTTCGTTACAGATAAATTTAATCTAGAATGAAAAAGACCATTACTAACAGGTGATAGTGACGGCGTAAAAATAACTTACGTGAATAATAGATATGGTGATGTGTGGTGATCTAAATTGTTTTATAATGGTAGGAGGAAAACAAACAAACTTTTAGTACACGAATGTCGTAGGGTATAGTAAGCATAGTAATTTGTTTCGATGCTGAGCTTTTGGTATTATTATTACAACTACTACTACTTCTACTATTATTGTTATTATTATTATTACTACTTCTATTATTAATATTGTTATTATTATTATTATTATGACTACTACTTCTATTATTAATATTATTATTATTATTATTATTATTATTATTATTATCATTGTTATCATTATTATCAATATTATTATTATTATTATTACTACTACTACTACTACTACGACTCTTACTACTGTTACTACTATAACTATTATTATTATAATAATAATAATTATTATTATTATCATTATTATTCTATTATTCTTATTATTATGATTATTGCTGTTATTTCTATTATTACTATTCTCATCATCATCATCATTATTATTATTGTTATTACTTGGTGTTTGCTTTCTTGCAGTTTATTCACAGTCATTATATATATATTTTTCCCCTATATCTAGTACAATTAAGATGAAAATGATAATACGAGAAACATAAGAAACAAAAAGAGTAAAGAAAACGAGAGAATAAACAACGAGAATTTGAGAAACCTGAATGAAGAAATGTTGAAAATGCCAATATTTTTCATTAAGTTCTTCGTTATCGTCAAACGGGGACCAACAAAATATATTAAAAAAAAAAGGAAAGACGACAACACAATAATTAAATACACACCACTTTCGGTATAATAAACAAACCAAAAAGGTAAAAAAACAAAACAAAACAAAAAAAGAACACGGCATATCTAGTAATTGAAAAACAAGAAACAAGAGCAAAACAAATAAAAGCAAGACACCATCTTCATAAGAGAAAAATAAACAAAAAAAGAAGGAAAAAACAACCACAGCATCTTCAAACAAGCAAAACAAACGACAAAGAAAAAAAAGGAAAAAAACAACCACAGCATCTTCAAACAAGCAAAACAAACGACAAAGAAAAAAAAGGAAAAAAACAACCACATCATCTTCAAACAAGCAAAACAAACGACAAAGAAAGAGAAATACATACAAAAATATAAGAAAAATAAATACATAAAACATAAAAAAGAATACATCAACAGTAATAAAAACAAAACCAACAAAAAACAGAGAACATCATCTTCACGAAATCAAAACAAACAAACAAACAAACAAACGCGAGCAACAGCATCAACAGCCAGGAACAGCAAATCACAGCCTCTCGCGAACATGATTTTTAGCCCCGTTCAAGGAAACTCGATTCGGGTCGACTGTGCGTTGGGTCGCCCTGTGTCTTTGTTTGTTTGTTGGTTGTGAGTGTTTTTGTTTGCCTTTTTTTGTTTGTTTTTTTGTGGTTGAGTTGTATAATTTTGTTTTTATTTATTTATTTATTTATATATATATTTTTTGTTCAGTTATTTGGTGTGTATATTTATGTCGATATTGATTTACCTTTTTTGTGTTTGTAGGTTAATATTATTGCTATTATTCATTATTTATTCATCTAAGTATTTATTTTTTGTATTTAGTTATTTGTTTTGATTCGTATGTGTGCTTGTGTGTTTCTACTACATCTGCGTGTGTGTATATGTGTCTGTGTGTACGCGGTGCGTGTATACCTGTGTGTTAATTGTGTGCTTTCGTACATTTATATTTATAAAAGTGCGTGCGAGCATGCTTTTGCCTTTTTTTTCCTCTTCCCTTTCATCTCCTCCTCCATCTCCTTTCACATCCGTCTTCTTCTCCCCCCTTCGCTATCTCCTCCGATGTCTCTGTCTCTCAGTTTATTCGTTCGTGTTGACTTGGCATCTTCTTAACGTGCGTGGGGGTGGGGGGGGGGGGGGGCGTTGCCAGGTCCTAACAGCGGCCTCCGTGCCCTTAGTCCCGGCTCTCGCCTGCTCTCTTTCTCTTTTTCTCATTCTCTTTCTCTTTTTCTCTTTCTCTCTCTCTCTTTCTCTTTGTCTTATTCTCTTTCTCTTTCTCTTTCTCTTTCTCTCTTTTTCTTTGTCTTTGTTTTTTTCGTCTCTTTCTCTCTCTATCTATCTATCTCTGGCTATCTGTCTATATTTCTCTCTCTCTCTCTCTCTCTCTCTCTCTCTCTCTCTCTCTCTCTCTCTCTCTCTCTCTCTCTCTCTCTCTCTCTGTCTCTTTCTCCCTCTCCCTCCCCTCCCTCTCCCTTCCTCCATCTCCCTCCCTCCCTCCCTCTCCCTCTCCCACCCTTCCTCCGTCCCTCTCTCCCTCTCCCTCTCCCTCCCCCCTCTCTCTCTCCCTTTCTCCCTCCCTCCCTCCCTCCGTCTCTCCCTCTCTTCTATCTGTCACTAATGACCTCGAGGCTACGCAGAAACAATAATATAGGCAAGGGGGATGGGAAAGCAATGAGGGAGGAGGTGGAGGAGGAGGAAGAGGAAAAGGAAGACAAAAAGGAGGAGGAGGAGGAAGAAGAAGAAGAAGAAGAAGAAGAGGGAGATGAAGAAGATGAAGATGAAGATGAAGATGAAGGAGAAGAAGAAGAAGCAGCAGCAGAAGAAGCAGCAGCAGAAGAAGAGGAGGAGGAGGAAGAAGAAGAAGAAGAAGAAGAAGAAGAAGAAGAAGAAGATGATGATGATGAGGGGGAGGAGGAGGAGAGGAGGTGCAAGGGAAGGAAGAAAAGAAGGAAAAGGGCGAAATAAATAATGAGGAAGAAGAACATAAAAAACAGTGATAATGATAATAACAAAGATAAGAAAATAATAATAAGAAGAGTGAGATGAAAGGCTCCTCCTCTCATTCACGAAATCAAGGAAATGACAAGGAATTCACTCTTCACATGCACGTTTTACGGTGATGTGTGTGTGTGTATGCGTGCGTGCGCGTGCGTGTGCGTATGTGTGTTTGTTTGTTTGTTTCTCGTTTGAATATTCGTTCGGTCGTGTGCTCATGTAAAAACGCAACCAAATATACATCAAATACACAACAAATCACAATACAAAAATACAATAGCCACATCTACAACATCCTACACGGAGCCTCTACAACCGACCTACATTCCGAGAAGAATTCCCTGGCCCGCAAACAACCCCGTAAATGGCAAGGGTGCAAGTAGGCCTACGTTGGTCTGCGGCCGAGGTCAGCGCGGAGAGGCCGGTGGGGAGCGTGTGTTTGTTTGTTTGTGGGTTTTTGTTTGGTGGGCCTGTTTTTGTTTGCTTGTTTATGTGTGTGTTTGTATTCTTGTGCCTCTATGTTTGTTTATGCTTGTACCTGTGTGTGTTTGTTTGTTTGTGCCTCTGTGTTTGTTTGCTTGTGCCTGTATGTGTTTGTTTGTGCCTGTGTGTGTTTCTTTACGTGTGTGTGTCTGTGTTGCGTTTGTTTGTTTGTTTGTGTGTTTGCCTGGTATAAATGGAGGTTCGATTTTGTGCTTGCATTTGTGTTTGCTTCCATGTATGAAACGGTGTTCGTTCGGTCTTTTGTGTACGTATGTCTGTTTGAATGGATGTTCGAAGTTTTTACACGTGTGTTTATATATCCGCTAATTTTTGCTTGTATCCCCGTGTGTTTTCTTTACCTGTTTATCTCTTGTGTCTGCATCCACGTGTGTATATCAAGTGTTTGTCCACGTAGGTGTGTGTGTGTGTGTGTGTGTGTGTGTGTGTGTGTGTGTGTGTGTGTGTGTGTGTGTGTGTGTGTGTGTGTGTGTGTGTGTGAATGACCGCGAGCTAAAAATCCGCAAGAGAGATATATAATTACGTGTATGAAGGAGCTTGCTTGTAAGGCCATTCATTCGCCTACGTGTTGCTACATATACATACATGCATACGCTAAATATTCATGAAGTTGGGGCGTAAACAGAAAGCTGACTTCAGTGTTTGTGTGTTCTTTCGTGTGTTTATTTGTTTTTGTGTATTTAGTGTTTGTTTGTGTGTGTGTGTGTGTGTGTGTGTGTGTGTATGTGTGTGTGTGTGTGTGTGTGTGTGTGATGGTTTTTCATTGTGAAAGTGTAAATTAAGGTTTGCTCTGTGTGTTTGTGTTTGTTTGTGTGTTGTTTATTTGTTTTTTTTTATGTATGTATGTTTATGTATTTCTTTTTACCTTTATTTTTTCACGCACAAATGTATCTACGTGTCGACATGTGCGCATGTATACAGTATACGCACATTTACCTTCGCGTGTACATGATAATAAGAAATAATAATAATAAATTAAAAATAAGAAGACATTTGGTTCATTTTACGATTATGCAAATTATTTGGGAGCGGGAAGTGTTCTTTGTTTATTTGTTATTTTGGGAAAAACATGTTTAGTGGGTGTTTATTGCGGGGTTCAACTGATTCTTTACTTTGTTTTTGTTTTTAAGGATGAGGAAGAGGAGAGGGAAAGAGAGAAGGGGGGAGGAGGAGGGAGAATGAGGCAGAGAAGGAGAGGGGGAAAGAGAGAAAGGGAGGGAGAGAGAGGGAGAAAAAAAGGAGGGGAGAGGGAGCGAGAGAGAGCAACGAAAAAGGTAAAGAAGAGGGAGAAAGCACACACACGCACGCACACGCGCGCACGAACGCCAAAACTAATACCACCCAAAG